TTTGGTATTTACTAATTGTGCATTAAAAGAAGAACAGGAGTTCGTTTGTTGGAAGGATGCAGCATCCTTGTCTCTGTATTTTGACCTCTGCAATGCAGGTAATACGGCTGATGTGCCCTGCCTCTTGTGTGCCCCGCCTCTTGTGTGCCCCAGCCAGGTTTTGATGCACATGTGGAGCCAGATGAAGGCTGGTTGGATATTAGGAAAAACTTTCTCACTAGGAGGACTGAGAAGCATTGGAACAGGTTACCCAGAGAGCTAGTGGACTCTCCATCCTTGGAGGTTTGTAAGACCCAGGTAGACAAAGCCTTGGCTGGGATGATGTAGTTGGGGCTGGTCCTGCTTGGAGCAGGGGGGTGGACTGGATGTAGTCCAGTCCACCCCCCTTGAGTCCTCTTGAGCTCCCTTCAACCCTCATTTTCTATGATGCTTCTATGATTCAGCTTGTCCTTTGAAGGGCTTCCTCATTCCTCCTCCTTCCCAAGCTTCCTTTGGTCTTTGATTCTTTCTGAGTTCCCCTGGTGTCTCTTAGGCTAAATCATTTCTAAGATCCAACCTATCTGTTTAACTATTTGGGGATTTTTCCCTCTCTAAACCCCAATACTTTGTAGAGAAACAGAAGAGAACTGGTGTCATAGAATCAGAGAAAACGAGGGTGTGAAGGGACCTCAGCAGGTCACATCTAGTCTAACCCCTGCTCACTAGGAGGGTGGTGAAGCACTGGTGCACAGTCTAGCTCGTCTCACCTAAGGGGCAACCATTTTCATTGTCCTACATTTCTCCTATGCGAATGGGAGCCTTTGAGGCTCAATGACCCTCCCTACTCCCTGCCCTTGACCACGGGTGCAGTATGCACCAAGGCATTCGGTGATACACCAGTTCCACACAATGCATCAAAATGCTTCTACTGTAAAACCCCCTTGTACTGTAGAAGGGACTTTTCAAAATGCATCCATCTGGGGAAGGTCACTGAGACCCTCTTGAACATGCTCTTGGGGGCAGGGATCCATATCCCCAATGAGGTCAAGGGGTAGTGGCCAGGTTGGATTTGGATTTTTGCATTCATTATTATTCATTGAGGCAAATTTGATGCCAGATATCCTACACAAGGTGCTGCTGGTTTTTATATATATGTGGTGAACTCAGAGGGCTTGTGCATGTGGCATGGCATAGTCCCTTCGCTTAGGCTGTGTATAAATTGATCTCCTGAATAATCACATCCTCTCTGAGGAGAGAGGCAGCCTCCTTTCAACTGGCCCAGACACTGCAGTCTTGCTGTGGTCATGCCTACTCTCTGCAAAAATCATTCTCCCACTCTGTCCTTTGAAGAGCTCATCTTTCTCCTTGCCTCTCTCCACCAGGCTCTTCTTCATATCACATCAACCTTAAGCTGCTTGGGTTTGCTTTCAAGGCTCTTCATCTGATCCCATCCTCTTCTGTCCTGTCCTCACTAAGATGTTGTCTCACCTCCAGTCAGCCCACAATGCCAGCCGTTTTGCTCTGCTTTCAAACAGCCACATTCATTTTTTCTCCTTCCTGGGAAGAGATCAACACAGACATTTGCAAAGCTACCACATTATTCCCCTTCAGCGTTTTCCTTTTCTAGGATGCCTCCAAAAAGCTGATGACAGCCAGGCTGCTGGTATGCTGAGACCTTATCACCTCCTTGTGCTCCCACATCTGTATGATGCCATTTCTTGTATCTTACTTTATACTTCGATTGTAAGGGTCAAGTGTTTTTGTTCTGCATGTACAGTGTTTAGCAGAATATGATGTTGGGCTCACGATGACAAGGGCTCCTGGGAGCTACAATAAATAAATAAGTCCAAAATTTCTAAAATAAAACAGGAGACAAATTGGGAAACTGAAGAGTAGTGGTAGTTATCTATCATTCTCATTACCGTAGCAACTTTGTGTGCCCAGTCTGTAATGGTATTTATTCTTATAACACTGGTGTGAGTTGGGCACTGTGGCGGGCCAGTCGGGGGCGCTCCTGCGTTGAGCCGCCCACCTCCCTGCGCCCGCCCACCTTCCAGGCTCCGAGTGCCTCCCTGGGGTGCCTCCCGTCCGGCCGACCCCTTCCCTGGAGCACACCCGCTAGCCTGGGGTTCCCGCTGCCACCATCCAAGGCTCTGGACTCACTTCTGGCTCTGCGCACCTTGGAGAACACAGGCCTGATCGTCCAATGGGTGCTAGACCCAATACAGGCACTTGGGGCACTTCCCCAAGTCAGGGGTTGATTAGGAAGCCTCCCTTAGTCCACCGACCTAAGGGGCCTCCTCGGCATAATTTAGACCCACCCCTCAATAAGTCTCCACACCAGTCACAAAGGAGAACTTTATTGATTACAGGGGTAGGGCAGGAATAGGGTAAAAGGTAGAGCAATATCATAGAAATATTACAGGAATATCAAAGGAATCCCATAGAGCAAACCAGGGTGGCTGAGGTGGCCGTTTAAACACGCATCTGAGTTACTGAAGCTAAATATCTGATCGGATCTCTAGTAGGTTACTCACTCGCATCATCCAGAGGTGGTTGCTGTTTCCTCTGAAGGCAGGGCACTCTTGCAGCATGCGGTGATGAGGAGAGAGCCAGGTTCAGATTCACCTGGATGACCGCATGGCTAATGGCTGCCCTTCTTCCTGGCCCAGGCCTTTTTTTTTTTTTGCCAGTTCCTTCAGTTCGGGCACAGTCATCCGGACATACTCGTCCTCCATCCTGACTCTCTACCCTATCCAGTCGACCCGATGCCAAATTAGAAATTGTTTGCTCAAGGGATTCCAGTGACTCTATTCCTTCTCCCAAATTATGCCTC